AAAAACATAAAAGCAGCAAAACATACTATTGATAAGTCTTGTCTGTGTATCCAGATCCTAATTATATCTGTGTGTCATAGACCTCCAGTGGTGTCCAAAAACTATTTTTCTTCATTGCAACGATCATTGGAACTATTATGTATGTTGAGTGGATCACACAAACATCATCCTACTTTCTCCTGTTAGAGTAACGCTTGTTAATATTTAAAGGTCCGGTGTGGAACATTTAGGAGGATCTATTGGCAGAAATGCAATATAATATTCATATCCCACAAACCAAACACTAGATGCAGATAGGGCCACCATAGTTTCTCCTACACACTCTACAGTCTGCCCTCATTCGCAGGTGGTCAAATACAGACGCGAGCAGTGTTCAGTTAGTTTAAATCTACAGTCCTATACACTGGTCCTTTAAAATGAAACCATATATCTGTGTCCTGTTTTTATAGATTTCCATCTTTAATAGAAATGAATGGGCCTGGGGCTGAGTGATCGAAGAGACAAAGTACTGAGAGACTAACACACATTTGATATGTGGATGAAAACCCATCAGCCTTTTTAAATTTAAAGAGCTTAGCAAGATAATTCTCCAAAGAGAGAATTAAGTAAATAAACAATAAACAATACTTAAAGAAGAAAAGAGCAACTGAGGAGAAAATGAAAACATGAATAAAATCATAATATAAGCTAGTGCTCGAGGACGACAGACAACAAAAGTATGTTTTCCAAAAGGCATTAACATCGAGCAGAGACTCCGGGGATGTAGAAAGCAGCGTGGAGCTTCACTCGTTAACAGACTTTTGTTTTTTCGCTCCCCGCAGCAACAAAGGCATGGAGCACCTCTACAGCATGAAGTGCAAGAACAAAGTGCCTCTGTACGACCTGCTGCTGGAGATGCTGGACGCTCACCGCATCCACCGCCCAGACAGACCAGCTCAGTCCTGGTCCCAGGCTGACGGAGAGCCTCCCTTCACCATCACCACCAACAACAACAACAACAACATCAGCAGCGGCGGCTCCTCCTCCTCAGCTGGTTCCAGTTCAGGACCCCGAGTCAGCCACGAGAGCCCGAGCAGAGGCCCCACATGTCCGGGTGTCCTGCAGTACGGAGGGTCCCGCTCCGACTGCACCCACATCCTATGAGACAAAGCACAGATCAAGCAAGAGCGGAGGTCAATAGTCATTTTTATGGATGGCGCGTGTGGCACAGAATTATTTGAGTTAATTTTATGAGGTAATTATTTATAAATGAAATGCTTTTATAGTTGTAGCTGTTTAGGGAGACGTTATTTTTTCCTTTTGCACTTCTCCGGTTCGTTTTGAGCTTCAATGCTGTTAATCTTCTATGCTGCCTTTCATAATATCTGTGATTCTGAGTCCATCTCTAACAGCTTTACAGTGCAGCTTTCTATTTACAGGCGTTGGGTCATATTGTGGCACTCTTGTCAGCTACGGTGATTTGAGATGACGAGCAGCTAATTGTTTTTCTTTGTATTCGCTTCAACCAAAGTGCACTTCCTCTTGGGTTTAAGGGGCTGTTGGGCATTATTTTTACTTTTACATTTTAAGGATGATTACACACTAAACTATGATAAAACTGCTTAAAATCAGTGTAATTTATTTTGTCTTTAAATTCCAACGTCATAAAGGACTTAAAACGTCAGGTATCGTGTCTTATGCACAAACAGTTTTTAACTTGATATATTTGTGGATAAAATTATTAATGATGGACTAATGAAAGGATATATATGTTGAATTTTGAATAGTTAAAAATTGCACGATCAAATCCTCGAGCACTGATTACATAATGAAGGAAGCCAAGCTTTATTGTTGGGTAACTTCGCCCTGTCTTCAGCTTTTTGTGTATAGTGGGTTTGTTTCTATATGCTTACTGGCACCAAAGTTTTGTTCTTGATTTTGTTGTCTTTATGTGTGTGTGTGTGTGTGTGTGTGTGTGTGTGTGTGTGTTTCCTGTTGGGGACCTTTTCTGTGACCAGTTGTCCTCATGAGGACAAAAGGCCAATCCTAATGCAGCAAATTGTCATATCTGAGGTTCTGGCTTTCCACAATTAATGAAGTCAATGGAAAGTCCTAACAACAAGGATAGCTGCACAAACGTGTGCGTGTGTGCGTGTGAGAGAGAAATCTGAGGCAATGAGCTACGAATGACTCCGAGCTGATTTGATTTTTGTGTCGATGCAGTTGTTTAACATTTCAGCCCCATCAAAGCTACAACCGGTTACTATTCATCCACTAATTCAGTGATTACATGTTGAGTTTGGCTGGATTTACACACCCGTTTATCATAATGTTGTAATATGTGTTTTCATTTTCTTTTTAAAATGAGCAAATCTTATCCGACTGTTAAGAAATATCAGCTCTAGATACAATCAGGTGTTTATTATTAGCTGCTATACACGTCTAGATACCGCTGTAATAGTTTGGTTTATGTCCCCAAAGCTCTAAGTGACGTAATCAAATAACTTTGATCCGTCTGATCCCAAATGTATTCAATGTATAATCACAAAGAAAAGCAGAAAATCCTCAAGACCTCCTTTTACAAAACGCTTCATATTTACATTATTTAATTAATCAGAATAAAACATTATAATAAAACATGAAAAATTAAATGATTTGAAAAATGTCCACATGCTTTAGGTCTAATTAAACATCTCTGTGATAAAAAAGCACATTGCTCCTAATTAAATCTTCTTTCTTTGATGATATCGTGGTCAAAGCACAATAAGTGAAATTGACCTTTGGTCTGTGAAGTACACAAATATAAAAATATACTGAGACCAACAGTTGACTGACCTGTAGAGAATGCAGGTAATGATGCTGCCAGAAAAATAAAAACTATACAAAGGTGCAGTCTTAAGTTGTCAGATCTGATCTGTGCCAGAGGACTACAGAAAGCCTCCATAGAGGATCAGAGAACTGAATTTGTCCACTCGAGCTGTTCAGTGTAAGTCCAGTCAAACCCGACCTGATTGTCATTTGTTTACTGTGCATAAAAAATAAAAGCATTAATTGGGAAAGAAAAATATTATCACCGTGTTTTCTCTCAAAGTTTGTATCCCAGAAATCAAGTGGAAGAATTCACAGAAGTAAATATTTCATGTTTTATTATTTGCAAAGAGAGTATTCTTCATGAAGTCGGCATTAGCAAACTGTACATACATAAATAACCATTTTCATATTTCATCATTTTTTTGTTGTTGTTTTTTACAGATTCAGTTTTAAACATCGCAGTGATTCCGACGTCTCGTCACCGCAGAATAATTATCGCAGTTATTACAAAGCACGCTATTCCAGGTCACAGCCGTTTACTAAAACACTACCAGTGATTGTTTGGCTTTCTTTAAAAGCAAAAGTGTGAG